TGTAGCCGCGCAGCACGGGGTTCGAACAAGCCGGCATTTAAAAATGGCGCCGGCCCGCTTATGCAAATGAAGCCCGGGAAATTCAAATCCCGGGCTTCATTTGCAAGTGCGGTATGCCTACATTACCCCGCTAGTTCGAACTAGGAGGGTAGTGTAGACATACCCAGACATAGTAAAATGAAGCGGCGATTTAAATAATCGCCGCTTCATTTAAATTTACATGGCTGCTGCGCTGAGCCGGCAAACAGCTGATCTGCTGTTTGTCGACTCAGCGCGATAGTCTGGACGCGCGGGTGTTGACATCAAAGGTATTTGTCGACCACCCAGGTAAACCTCATCCCAGGTACCCTAAGTGAGTAGTCAATGGCAATTCCATCGAATACTTGATTAGCTGATTAATCGAAATTTAACTCGAGGGTAGGATTCTAAGAACTAGCCAGCATGGATTTAAGAACAAATGATACTAAATCAATCCTGTCTAAGAATTAGGTTGCTGACCTGGTGGATAAGGGGGAAAACAGTAGATGCGATAGCTCTCCATTTTTAGTGAGGCAGTCCTACAACATTCTCATAATTTCATCTAGACCACATTTCCTTAACTTCATTATTTTAAGATGGATGCATAATTGGTTTAAAAACCATATCCAAAATAATTATCTGTAGTCTGCTTCCCAACAGGGAGGGTGTACCTAGTCCTGTGTCTGGTACAAAACTAGTGTAGCGCCCCCTCTCCACCTGGTTACCTTCTTCTAAAGCCAATCTCCTTTCAGGTTTGGATGGATAGGTCTGGGTTCTTCTGGATCCCGCCACCCACTCAGTTCTATTCTTTTTAATTGATGTACTTGGCGGTGCCTCCACCCCCCTCACTCCTTCCTAGCAGGGTCACCAGGGCAGCTTGGGAGGAAAATTCTAGCCCAGGATAATCCCCACATATTTGCCAGATAGTTGGAGACTCCCAGAAAATAACACAAACACATACACTATAATAAACACAATTATATTAAACAGGAGACAATAATAACAGAACAGGGTAAAACCCTATTTTTAACCTCACAGTTGCTGGGCACCGGTGACCCTAGTGTCCCGTTGGTACGCGTACTTTGTTTTGGCCCTTGATGACTGTTGACCACACAATCCTTCTCTGCAGTGGTTTAGCAGTGGAGCTGACTAGGTCCAGTACATCCCAAAGGACTCACAAATGGGAGAAGGCAGTAAATCCCTCCACAGTTTAATATGCTGCAGGTAATAAAATCCCCAAACAAATTCCCTGACTTACTAACTAAAAATTGGTGCACTCACACACTCCATGAATGAGCCTCAGGTTGAGAGATGACTCAGTCTCTGCAAAGGGCTGCTCTCTTCTCACAGGGGTCCTCTTCAAGCAGGAACCAGGCTGCTTCGGTCCCAGAATTTCCCCTCACCGCGAAGGGGTG